GCCCGCTCCTGCCTGTGCGGCCTGACCTCTGGGCCCGCTCCAGCCTGTGCGGCCTGACCTCTGTGCCCGCTCCAGCCTGTGCGGCCTGACCTCTGGGCCTGCTGCACAGCCTAGGTCCTGGAGCCTCCCTTCTCCAACTGCTGGGATGGTTTTCTCCCATGTTGGGCCCCCTGTTTCCTGGTCTCCTATCTTTTTTTCTCAGGTTCTTCCCTTGCTCTGCAGGAACACATTCTTTAGTAGCTCCTGTGAAAGGCTGTATGGAAGATAAAGTTTTTGAAACTTTGAATATCTGATCATTCTACCCTCTTATTTAACTGTTTGGCTGTTTTAGAATTCTAAGCTGGAAAATACTTTTGCTCAAAATGCACGGCTTCACTGTCTTCTAGCTTCCAGTGTTGCTATTCTAATTTGTGTTTCTTTACGTGCAATCTGCTTTTTCTTTGTAGAAGCTTGTAGGAGTTTCTCTCTCATGTTTTGAAACTTCACATTTCAGTACTGGGTTTGGATCTATTTTTATCCACAGGGTTGGGCACTTAGTGAATTCTTCCAATCTTAAAAACTCCTACCCACATCTTTCAGCTCTCAGACATCTTCAACAATTCATTTGTCAATTTCTTCATCTTCCCCTCCCTCCACTCCCATTTTCTTTTTCTGAAACTCTTATTATTACAGTCTGGGAACTCCTAGGCTATCATCTACTTTTCTTGTATTTTTCTGTATTATTTTGCATCTCTTTGCTTTTATAACTGATATTCTGGGAATTTCCTCAATTGTCATTTTCAATTGAGTTTTTCGTTTCTAGTATTTTTATATTCATAAGCTCTGTTGTTTTTGAGTGTTCCTTTTTATAGCATTCTATACTTGTTTTATGGATGCCGTATCTATTTTTCTCTGAAGATATTAAAAATAGTTTTTTAGGCCGGGCGCGGTGGCTCATGCCTGTAATCCCAGCACTTTGGGAGGCTGAGGCAGGCGGATCACAAGGTCAGGAGATCGAGACCATCCTGGCTAACATGGTGAAACCCTGTCTCTACTAAAAATACAAAAAATTAGTCAGGCGTGGTGGCCGGTGTGCCTGTAGTCCCAGCTACTCGGGAGGCTGAGCCAGGAGAATGGCGTGAGCCTGGGAGGCGGAGCTTGCAGTGAGCCAAGATTGTGCCACTGCACTCCAGCCTGGGCGACAGAGCGAGACTCTGTCTCAAAAAAAAAAATAGTTTTTTAGTTTCTCTTCTTTACAGTATACTCTGTTTCTTACAAGCTGCTTTCTTCATTTGCTTCCGCTTATCTTTCACATTAGCTCCCTTCTTCAAATGAATGGCGACACTTCGTCTTCTGCTTTTATTTAAAAGTGGGACACAAAAAAGCTGCATGCCTGGGTAAGGCTTCCTGACTGTGATCCTGCTTGTGGAGGGATCTGGCCAGGCAGCTGGACTGGGGTTCCCTGAAATCAGTACCTTTGAGCTTATTTTCTTAGGCTGATCACATTCCCCAGAGAAGGCTCTTCCAATCTCCTGTCAGGAAGACAAGCACCTGGCTGTCAGTGATCTGGGAGGTGAGTTGAGGAAAAAGGCTGGACTGTCCAAAATTTAAACTACTCAGCTCCTCTGCTTTCATGACAGCAGTTCACCCGCAGCAAGGTCTGTGTTTTCCCCAGTCCAGAGGCCCTCTGTTTCATCCTCGCCAAATAACAAACCTCCAGTCTTGGGCCAGCACTGAGGGGGCTAAGGAGCTCTAACTGCTTCTGAAACAGACTTTCAACCACTTCTGTGTTTAGCTTCACCTCCACTTCCAGAGTTTCCTGCAGTTGGCAATTACCAAGCCTTATGGAGATTTTGAGCTGTTAATCAGGTTGCTTCTCCAATTCCCACTGCCAGCCTAGGACTGAGCTTCCTCAGGTTTGCTAAGTTTACTAAATGTCTGTCTGCAATCTCGTTTTCCAAAACTGGTAGCTGTTAAGCATCTCCCATTTTCTCATTTCTGTGGGTTTGCCTTTTTATAATAAAAACTCTGTCAATTTAGTGGCATTTCAAGGGAAAGGGAGCTAAATGAGTATCTTGAATCTCCCATGTTTAAACAGATGGGAGATTAAAATTTAACCATGTTTAATATAAATAAGAATTTATATACTATGTTATATTGACCCATTTACCATGTACTGGTAATATGGACTTCTGCTTGAATCAATTCCAATAAATATATATAAAAACATAACTGTTCCTGACTTCAGCTAGAAGTGGAAAGAAGGCTATCTGGGCATGTCTAGAATAAGTATGTGTGTGTTAAGTGTTTTATAAGTCTGTGTATTTTTGTGTATTGAAGTTCAGAGAAGGGGCTTCTGCAGCTTTTTAAAACAGGAAGAGCAGCCACAGTATGCTTCAGAATTCTAAAGACAGAGGAAGACATTTAGAGTATTGTATTAGAATCATACGGCCACTAAAACATTATCATATATTATTTCTGAAAAAGGTGGTTCAGAAGATATTATAAAAATTTAGCTTGAAAAATAAATCTGTACATATTTGTTCTCTTCCATCTTTTTTTTTTTTTTTTTTTTTTTACAGATAATGGGCAAGGCCAAGCACAGTGGCTCATACCTGTAATCCCAGCACTTTGGGAGGCCGAGGCGGGGGAATCACAAGGAGACCAACACCATCCTGGCTAACACGGTGAAACTCTGTCTCTACTAAAAATATTTAAAAAAAAAAATAGCTTGGCATGGTGGCAGGCACTTGTAGTCCCAGCTACTCAGCAAGCTGAGGCAGGAGAATGGCATGAACCCAGGAGGCGGAGCTTGCAGTGAGCCAAGATAGAGCCACAGCACTACAGCCTGGGCGACAGAGCAAGACTCCGTCTCAAAAAAAAAAAAAAGATAATGGGCAAGTAAAGAGGTTTCAATTATTGTTCTACAGGCCTCCTTGTAAAAGATGGGATGTCAAAACACAAGAAGAAAATGTTTGACAAGACATGATAAAAGAAAATGCCTTAAAAGTTAATAGGAAGGCAGAAAAGATGCAAACGCATCTATAATATCAGTTCCTCCAGAGGACAAGAAAATCTATCATAAAAAAGGCCCTGTAATGGAAGAAAAGCCTGGGTAAGTACATAAAAAATAACAGGTCAGAAATACGATTTATGTCCTAAAATGTTTATAAGCTAATGCATGGAATGCAGGAATCAAAGACATTTTTTTACTCCTGAATGAAAAGAGGTAAACGGTTTCTAGTTACCTCTGAGATTAGGTGGGTTGAGATCCACGAGTGTCACAGTAATATAAAAATAAAATTTTATTTTAAAAATTGAGATCAAATGAACCCATAAACCTGAGGGCAGAAGTACAGTGGGAAGCATTTAGATAAAAAATTAGCATTATTGGCCAGGCACAGTGGCTCACGCCTGTAATCCCAGCACTTTGGGAGGCCAAAGTGGGTAGATCACGAGGTCAGGGAGTTCAAGACTAGCCTGGCCAGCATGGTGAAACCCCATTTCTACTAAAAATACAAAAATTAGCAGGGCATGGTGGCGGGCACCTGTAATCCCAGCTACTCAGTAGGTTGAAGCAGAGAACTGCTTGAACCCAGGAGGTGGAGGTTGCAGTGAGCCGAGATCACACCACTGCACTCCAGCCTGGGCAACAGAGTGACACTCCGTCTCAAAAAAAAAAAAAAAAAAAATAGCATTATCATTGTGAGTTTGGTCTATGAGATTACTGAGCCACACTAAGGCTGTGGATGAGGCTGTTTTCCACTGTGGTCTGATCCTATACCATCTGTAAGTTACACTGCTAAATGCAAGAGAGAAAAATAAAAATGAGACAAAAGAAGAGAAAAACATATTAGATGAGAGCAGCCAAGACAACTTGGATCATAAATCCTACCCCTGCCACTTGCTAACCCTGGGGTGAAAAGTCACTTAGCCTCGCTAAGCTCAGTTTCCTCATGTGTAAGATAAATACAATAATAATGACAAAACCTGCATCTTGGCATTGTTGTAGGAATTAAATGAGGTAATTCCCATAGAGCACTTAGACATAAAAGTACTCAAACAATGTCAGCTCTCCTCATGGTAAAGTAGGAGATATACTA